GTGTGTGTGTGTGTGTGTGTGTGTGTGTGTGTGTGTGTGTGTGTGTGTGTGTGTGTCTGTGTGTCTCCTGCAATGAGTGGGCGCTTCGGAGGAGTTCAGACCCTCACAAGCTGTCGATCATCATTGTCGTCACTGTTATCGTCTCATATATAAGTAGATAACTGATGATGAATGTAGTCAGAGTCTGCAAAGCCTGAGTGCAAGAAGAGAAGAGAAGGGTACGCGAACAGATTGGATTCGAACTCAGGTCAGCATGTCACATGCATCCGATGAGTGGGAGGGGTAGGCAACTCCAATAAGTGTGAAGCAGTCCTGAGTGAAGGGCAGTGGTCCTGTTTTTTTTGTTTTTTTTTCCTAAATAAAAAAAGGAAAAAAGCTAGGGAGATATCCCAGACGCTCGGGTCCAGACATCATGCCCGGTTTGGCGACCGGGTGACCGGCCGGGCATGACCCCCGGGCATGGGCCCGGGCAGCCCCAGCGCCAAAAAAAAAGAAAAAGAAAAAAATCTGGAAAAAAGAAAGTAGTGTAGAATAATAGAATTGCTATACAAACAACTTTTGGCTGAGGTATTTGAGAATAGGGAAACAAGGAAAAAAGTGCTTGTGTGAGTATGCCCTGACTCTGGTGAGCTGACGTACGCAAGGGCCGAAGGCGCGTCTTGAAGGCTGCTCTCCCATCGCCACCGGATCTTCGCAGTGAGCCTTTTTGTTCGCAACCTGCGATGGTTGCCCTCTCTATCGACGACCCTCTATCGACGACCCTCTATCGGGAAAGGCTCTCTGATGCCTATCCAGTATCTATGTATGAAGTCGTCAGTTATGCTATTTCACCCAAAGATTTAGTAGGTTGGATAGCCTTCACAATATTTTTGTCCATTTTTTTTTTTTTTAATGCCCCTGACGTATTGAGACATCCTGACAATTATATATTACCTGCAAATCCTATGTCAACTCCAGCTCACATAGTGCCAGAATGTTTTTTTTTTTTTTCAACCTGTTTACTAGGAAGATTTTCATGACCGGCCGGTTACCCGGGCGTGACGCCCGGTGGTGTGACGCACGTGCGGAGGGCACGTGCGGAGATGG